TACACCTAAGGTGGCGGGTTCGAATCCAGCCCGGGCCCACCAAAACAACAATGACGGCTGCAACCAAAAAATAGCCAGGCGTTGTGGTGGGTGCCTGTGGTCCCAGCTACTTGAGAGGCAGAGGCAGAAGACTCGCTTGAGCCCAGGAGTTAGAGGTTGTTGTGAGCTGTGATGCCACAGCACTCTACCCAAGGAGACAGCTTGAAGCTCTGTATCAAAAAAAATACTATCTCACTTAACCCTCACTGCAACCGATTCAGCATTGGTAGAAAATACATATCAGGGATTATTAGAAATAAATTTAAGTTCAGAGAGCAAAGCCGTTCTGAATTCTTCTGTGCCATCACTCCACTGGCTGAAATATAGCCCTTCCTCTTTAAAAAAATAAAAATAAAATAAAATAAACTTAAGTTCAGAAAAGAAAAGAAAACTTACCCACAGTCACAGAACTTGCAAGTAGCAAGGTCAGCATTCAGGTTGTTCAGGATACATTGTTTTATCCATTCTGTTACAAGAAGTTACAGAAATTGGCTTGAACACCTGTGTTCTACTGGTTCTACTGTGTTCTTCTTAGCACATTCCACATTTCTGTAAGTGAATCAGTTTCTACTTTGGCTGCTCACTGTTGCTAGGGGCTGAGATGCTACTGCCTATCACTGTCTTTGTCACTCATACTGCTGCAGCTCCTGCAGGACACTGGGCCAGGCCAGCCGTCCCCCTCCCCCAGGACCCAAGTCTCAGAGTCTGTGAGACAGTGGGGCTGCGATAGGTGAAGATCTGGAGCTCGGACAGGCTCAGTAAAGTCAAACTAGGAACCAGGTCTCTGTGCTCCAGAGCACATGCTATGCTGAACATGAGCTGGGACTCAGGAAAGGGAAGCAGTCTACACCTGCAGAGGAGCTGAGCCCACTGTGGCATCACCCCACAGACGTCTGTCAGGAAGGTTACATTCTGACACTGAGGTCCTTCCCTGAGGGGGTGAGTGCTCAGTGAAACACAATGTCTGTAGACTTTATAAATGTTCAGAAAATTAAGTATAAACAGTGGGGTTTCTGACCTTGGCTGCACTGGAACACAACAGCACTGAATCCAGATGGGTAACTGGATAGTAACTGAAGAGGGAGTCTGTGTGCTAGGGAATGTGCTGGAAGGGCATGTGGCCTCTCACCCACTTCTTCTTGGCCCTCTGCTGGGTTTGCAGCCCAGTCCCCGGAACACAGGCTGCCCCTGCCCTCCCCTGCCACACTCCCTCCCAGAGCATCAGGCCAAGATTTCCACTTGGACAGGGTGGTGGCCAGTGGCCTTCCTTCCAGCCCGACCTGTCCCTCAGCACATTCCTGAGTCTCCTTCTACTGCCTATGGAAGGGTGCCAGGCCATGGTCCCCACATAATCCAGAGCTACCACAAACTTTCCCCTCTGCACTCCTTACTGCACTTAGCACTGCTGTCTCTCTAACATCCCAAACTAAAAATGCTGAGGTTGTCTCCAGCTACTTTCTTTCTGGTCATCTCTACATCCTGGAAATGTCCCCTAGCTCCCCTCTCACCCTCTCTGAGCCTTGGGTTCACCGTCAGTGCCTGGGTCTTGCCCTAGACATATTTTACGTGGGTCACCTACAGCCCAGTGTCCATGCCCTCCCTGGAGTGGTCTGCTCAGAACTACACCTGACAGATGACTCTCCCATTTCTGTTGGCTGCCCACTGTGACAGCAGCTCTCACTGCCACCCAGGGCAGTGCAAATATGTCCAATATGGCCACCTGACTGGTTCCTGCCAGTCTCCTCCAGAACCCCACTCACCCAGCCAGGACTGCCCCCAATACACCAGTGTCCCTTTGTGTCCTTGCTTTTCCAAAAAGCAATGCAGAACAGTGTCACCAGCCCCACCCCAAACTCTCCTCATTCATCCCTCAAGCCCCAGCTCCCATATCTCTTCTGGACACCCTTTGGGTGAAATTCATTACTTTGTTCCTTTTGCACTTCATTTATCCATCAGCACGTGTGCAGGAAATGCCTTCTGAGTCCAACAGCTCCAGGCCCAGGCTTCACAAATGAGTTGTTAGGCTGACTGCAGGGGCTGGTCACTGGCTGTGAGACTCCTCTAGACTTTGACCCTCACTGCTCCACAGAGATCTGGCACCCTCGGTGAGGTGCATGCTCAGATCAGTACATCTGAAGGGCTGAAGGAGCCCAACTATGGACTATGAGATGCTATTAAGGGATCTCTGTACTTATGTAGAATAATATCCTTGTTTTTTCAAAGATATAAGTTGAAAGATTTAATGTAATGAGGTTCAAATAAAAATATGGATAAATAACAAGGAAAACTATCAAAATATTAACTATGGTTGCACTCAGGGGCTGGGTATAAGGATATTCGTTGTACATTCTTTCTATGTATCTCTGTATTTGTATTTTTTCACAATAAAAATTAAAAGTTTAGAAGTGAGTTGAATTGACTAGACCCATTTTCTTATCTGTCAACTAGGGGGTGTCTGTGGGAGGGGCAGGTAATGACCTCTGAAGGCTGTGTCCTGCCCTGTGGCTCTCTGTGGACCTAGAGCTGGTGTGTCCCCAGCTGGCTGAGTCTATTAGTTTCTGTGAGCCACACCCAGGGAGAGGGCAAACTGCCGCCGGGTCACGTCTTAGGGGGTCAATGCCCAAATCCAAGTGGAGTCAGGAGAAGCAGCTCAGGGCTCAGGCTCTTTGGTAACAGCTCAGTCGGCAGCCAGCAGCTTCTCATTTGGCCGTGAGCACAAGACTGTCTAGTGAGTCTCCCCACCCCAGAAAGATCACATGACTCGCAGGGCTGGGGTTACTGGACTGACCCGCCTTCCACAGGCTCTGTTCTGTGAGTGAGAGCTCTGCGGGTCCCTGACAGCCCCCGCCCCTTCCTCCAGGTCTGAAACACAGACCCGCGCCTCCTGGACACAGAGTCTACCCCCATGGCGCGCGCGCGGAAGCCCCACCCCTACTCCTGCCCATGTGCTCCTCCATACCTTTCTGGGAGGCCCCTTCCCCATGGCTCAAAGATTGTTCATAACGTCCAAAGTGTCCTGTTCCCTTCTCCATTCTGAATGCCCTCAGATGGCCGGGAGGGAAGCCAAGACATCTCCTCCGAGAACCTGAAGGGCTGTGTATCCCGGGGGGCTGCTGCGACTTCCTCCTCTCCACGCGGAAACAGGACCAGAGGCTCTGCCTTGGGGCAGCTGACTTACCCCGCCTGCGCCCCGCTCCTGGACCAGTGGCCTGGGTGCAAAATCAACACGTCTTGTCTTTTCCACAGCCAAACTGATGCTACCGGAATTGGCAGTGTCACCGATTGCCCCGCCCCCACAAGTACACAACTAACACTGGCTAACAAGCGACCAAAAGAGCCCCGCGGAGCCTCTGAGGTTCGAAGGCGCTTGGTCCCGCTGGTGCGGTCAGGCGGCTCCGGGGCGTGCACCGGGAGGACCGCGGGCTCCCGGAGCGCCAAGCCTGCCTTGGGCGACGCCAAGCCCATCGCCAAGGTCCCTGCCCGGCGGGGTCAGGCCTTGAGGGGCGGGCGGGCCGGGGCGGGACCTGCGGACGCTTTAAGAGGCGGTGCGCGCTGGAGAGGCGGTGCGCCAGGCCGGCGGGGGACCGCACCATGGAGACCGCCTGGGACTACGCGGGAGCCCTCATCAGGCGAGCGCCGCGCCCCCGCGTCCCGAGACCCCCTGCGCCCCAAAACCCCGCGCCCGCGATACGCCTCTAGTCCCCCTGCGCCCCACGACCCCGCGCCCGCGAGACGCCTCTCGTTTCCCTGCGCCGCGAGTCCCCAACACACACGCAGCTGTTCCGCTGGGGCCCAGGCCGGCTTTCCAGCGGCCGCGGACGCGCCCCACGGCTCCTCCTCCGCCACCTGGCCGTAGGTGCCAGTGCGGCTTCTGGGGAGCCCGGGCGTCTGTGGAGCAGGTGACAGCGGTGAGTTCGGAAGAGGCCGCGTCTCTTGCTGATGATGAGGACTCAGTCCCAGGACCCCCGGTGCGCTAGGGCAGGGCTTCGCCGGGGCCTGGGTAGGGTGACAGGAGCCGGAGTGGGGAGAGGAGGGGCCCGGGCTCCGCCACTCAGTGCTGAGGCCTGCCCACGCCCACGGGAGCCCTCCGGGTTGGTAAGGTAGCGCGCCTCGCGCCCCCGGCGTCCGAGCACCGGTGGGGGAACAAGGGGCCGGTCGACCCCAGCCGTCCTCCCTGCGCCCGCTGGCCTCTCCGCGGTCTCGTTTCCCCGCCTGGGTTCTGGTTCTTTTCACATCCCGACAGTCCCCAAACAACTCTTGTGATTTGAAAGCATAGATCTAAGGAAGATCCCGTGTTTCTCCGAAGGTCATCAAAGCACCTGTGGCTCAAGGAGTAGGGCGCCCGCCCCATATACGTGGGTGGCGGGTTCAAACCCGGCCCCGCCAAAGAACAAAAAGCACCTCCGAGAGGATGGGGAGCCCCTGCGGACTGAGATGCACCTTCTCAGGGACGCCCGTCCCATTGCGGAGGGACGCGAAGGTGACGCCGAGCGGACAAAGCCGAGCGCGGTTTGTGGGCTACCGAAGCCGGGCCTAAAGGGGAGCTTCTGGAGATACTTAATTTTAGAAAAACAGCTGCCAAAATGTAAGGGGGTCTTTCTCCATGACACTGGCTTTCTCTTTAAAAACAAAAAGCTAGTCGTAGCGGCGGTGATCAGGAAGGAGAAAGAGACTTGCCTCATCGCTGACACGTTTCAGAACTAAGGTCAGGTCATCCTCCGCTCCCAGGGGCGAGGGCTGTGGACGTGCAGGGCGCCCAGGTCACGTCCCTCCACCCCGCAGGAGCCCCCGGCAGGCTGAACTGCGCCCTGCCTTGCCTCTGAGCTGGAGGAAGAGTTAATAGCCAGGAATTCCCGACAGCAGGTTACCCAAATCCAGAATGGTTCTTTGTGGTCTCATGAGGCCAAACCTGCTTATGAGCGGTTGACAAATCAAAATGAAATGTCTCAGCCCGTGAGACCCATTTCTTCTGAGGTGGCGAGCCTCAGGCGTGAAGGACTAGTGGTTAGGGACAAACTGTCGTTGTGATTTTCTTTGAAAATCTACCTTCTTCCAGACTGAGCTGCTGTAATTCTTTAGAATCCACCTGTTTCCACACCAAACTGGAAGAAAACAACTGGTAATTTTTTTTTTTTTGAGGCAGAGTCTCACTTTGCCACCCTTAGTAGAGTGCTGTGGCGTCACAGCTCACAGCACCTCAAACTCTTGGGCTAAACCAATTCTCTTGCCTCAGCCTCCCAAGTCGCTGGAACCACAGGCACTTGCCACAAGGCATGACTAGCTTTAGAAATGAGGTCTCACTCAGGCTCAGGCTGGTCTGGAAATTGTGAGCTCCAGCAATCCACCCACCTCAGCCTCCCAGAGTGCTAGGATTACAGCTGTGAGTCCCCTAGGTAATTCTTGTTGAAAGGAAACACCTTTCTACCCTGCCTTTCTGTATAACCCTGCCCCAGCTACAGAGCCAGTGCATGCTACTGACAGGTGTGCTCACTGTGGCTTTGCTGGATTCTCCCTGTCCCTTAATTCAGACTACCAGATAAGAGTGTGTCATAACTCTGTCTTCACTAGCAAGTGACTGCATTTTGCTAAGGGAGTAACTTGATCAATATGCACAGTTTTGAAAAATCAGATATTTGTAAGCAATTACCTAATCTTATACCAGCCATTAGTTTGTTAATCAGCTGTGATGGCTAGAGGCCGTAGTCATGATGAAAGCAGCCCCAGGTCTGCTAGCAAAGCTCCAGACACCAAGGATGCCCACACAGGTGTTTACTTTCATAGACACAGTCTGGTTTGTTCCTGTGTCTTGTTGCTGATAATATTCAGGCCAGCCCCTCACAGTGTTACAAATCTGGTATACTACATATACTTAATGGAAAATGGCTGCCCTTTATAGTTATTTAGAATATCTTTCCTTTCCCTAAATTTTATACAGCTGCTATTTCAGTACCAATTTTTTTCTTTTTTTGAGACAGTCTCAAGCTGTCACCCTCGGTAGAGTGCCATGGTGTCACAGCTCACAGCAATCTCAAACTCTTGGACTTAAGTGATTCTCTTGCCTCAGCTCCTAAGTAGCTGGGAATACAGGCACCTGCCATAGCGCCTGGCTATTTTTTGGTTGTAGTTGTCATTGTTATTTGGCAGGCCTGGGCTAGAATTGAACCCGCCAGCTCCAGTATATGTGGCTGGTGCCCTAGCCCCTTGAGCTACAGGTGCTGAGCCTATTTCAGTACAAATTTTATCACAATAAGGAATTAAGTTTTCTACAAGTAAGTCTCCCAACTTTCTGCTTCTTGAATCTAAATTCTTATTTTAATAACATTTTGAAGTATTCAAAGACTCTATGAAATGAAAAAAGTCTTACTTTGTTGCCCTCAGTAGAGTGCCGTGGCGTCACAGCTCATAGCAACCTCAAACACTTGAGGGTAAGCGATTCTCTTGTCTCAGCCTCTCAAGTAGCTGGGACTACAGGCATCCACAACACCCGGCTACTTTTAGAGTCGAGGTCTCATTCCGGCTAAGGGTTATCTTGAACCTGTGAGCTCAGGCAGTCCATCCTCCTCAGCCTCCCAGAGTGCCAGGATTACAGGCGTGAGCCACCGATCCCGGCCTGAGTATTCAAAGACTTTCACAGTCATGTACTGAATATTCTTACTATGCCAAGTCTGTTGTCAGCTTGGAAGAATCCAGCTGTATCCCACACAGCCTCCTCAGGATGAGCTGTCTTTGGTCAAATGTGTTCCCACCCATGTTTTTCATGTCCAGCAGGGCCCTGTGGGAGCTGGAGGACAGAAAGCCCACAGAAACCAACACTGGCTCCTCCTCCTCCTATGGCTGGGTCAGCCCCACCACCCTCTGGCACTGCTCTAGGGCACTTCTCCAGGGCTGAGGAAAGCTCTCCCAGCCCTGCCTTCTTTCTTGGCATGATCATCCTTGAACCTACAACTTCCCTTCTTAACATTTGTTGTAACTCTTGGCTTTGGTGGCAGTGCTCAGTTGGCTCACATACTACTTCTGCATGTTCTTTCTTCTTAATGAGGACACGCAGGGTCCCTCAGCCATCACTGCACTCCACACGTTCCCTGGGCATCATCTCACACAGCCTGGCTGCATCCCCGCCATTAGCAAATCCCCTCCATTACCTTCAGAATCAACATCAGCCCATAGGGTTGTAAAGAAAGCTTTTCTAAGATCTGTGGGAGTCAGGTTAGTTCACATCTACTGCCAGTCTGGCTTGTTGCTTGATTTCTCTCACTTTTGTGAGGTAGCACCTCCTGCTTCCCTGAGGGAGAATCACAAAGTTGTCCCTGTTTCCCTGCTCTTCCAAGAGACAGGCCACTTCACAGTTTTCAAGAGCATTCATTCTATGAAATCTGACTTCTCTTATTGTCTTGATTTCTCTGAAACACCTGTTTCCTCAAACAACCTATTTCCTTATTTTCCCCCCTTTCGTGAGCTATTTCCCTTCCTGCTTCATGGGACTCTCTGTACCCACTTTCACAGGAATCAGGGAGCAACTGTTTCCACGTGTTATGCATCTAAAGCAGAAGTCTAGGGCTTCTCAGCGGCTCTGTGTCCGCACTGTGCACCCAGCCAGTGGTATAAATTCTTCTGACCATTCCATGGTTCAGAAGTGGGTTAGGTTAACCCAGCATACTGTCCATGCAGCTGGAGCAAAGAGAATGCCCTCGCAGGGTCTGCTGGCTACTGAGTGTGTCACATAAGGTAGTCTTGCTGGTAGATTACAGAATCTAGCCCATCAAAATCATGCATCCTGTTCTGTGAGAATGGTGGAGTTTCATTTTTGTGTCTTCAGCCGTGCTGTCTGTGCTCCACCTGCCTGTTCTCCAGCAGTGACCCAGTTCTCCATCAGGAAACATGACAGGTTAGAAGAATAATAGATTATGTACTTTTTTTTCCTTAATCCACAATGGGTATCTTGAGGGCAGGTGAAAGCAGGGAGGCCAGACATGGTTCCCAAGTTTATCCTGTCAGATGAAAGACTGTGGGAACTTTGAGTGAGTCAGCTGTGGCAGGTCACTGGGTGTGGCTTAGAAAGGCTTGTGCTCAATGGTGAGAAAATATGGGCCATGGCTGACCAGGTCAAAGCTGTGCCCCTAACCAGCAGGGGCTAGACCGAACATCTGAAGGGAGTCAGGGTGTGTCTCCCATTTCTGATTTTAGCCTAGTATGCCTGTGAGGTGCTGTGGAAAATGGGGTTAGGGTTCAGTGACCTCAGAGTCTAGAAGCCTCATACGTGTTTCCATGACTTTCTGCTCTGGGAAGAAAGAAGAGGCTTTTGCTGGTGAGGCCAGGGCTCCCCCCAACCAGGAGAGGTGTCCCCAGGCAGGCACACCCATGGGAGATAAGCTGAGCTGCACTCTGGGCCTGTTCTAGCACCTGCTAACTCTGACCTCCTTAACTTCTTAACTTCCTAGAGTCTTGGTTTACTCACTGGGAAGACTCATCTGGCAGCTACTTTGTAGTGCCCAGTGTGCATAGGTGTCTGGCACCAAGGGGACTCAGGCCTGTCTCTCAGCACTCCTAGCAGGAACCTCAACAGCTGGTTTAAGCTCAGGGGCTGGGGTGAGGTGGGGGCAAAGCCAGGCCCCTGCATGTAAAGTGCGATCTGGCTAATCCCTCTGACCCTCCAGCAGCTCAGCAGGGATGATAATGTGTGTGAATTACCTCTGATGTTAGCATGTCAACGTCTTGCTCATGGGTTGTGTAACTGAAAACCTGGTACGACTCTTTTTAATCAAGGCAAAAGTTCAGCCAGCCCCACAGAATGCTGCGGTTGGAGTCTAGGCTCCAATATCCTTGGTGAGTCTCTGGTAGAGGCCCCCAGGTCCTTCTGATGGGTAGCCCAGGCCAGAGACCCCTGATCCAGCATGTTCCTGTTGGCATTACCTCGCTGGAAATACTCATGTAGCAACTTTGTCTACCCAGAAGGGAAAGTGGCTGTGAGGGAGCTCACAATGCTGCTCTTCTGTGTAGCGCTCTGGGTCAATGTGTAGTAACAGCCTCCTCCCTCCACTTAAAAAAACCCTTGGCAGGCCAGTCACGGTGGCTCACACCTGTAATCCTAGCACTCTGGGAGGCTGAGGTGGGTGGATTACCTGAACTCACAGGTTCAAGACCAGCCTAAGCGAGAGCGAAACCCCATCTCTAAAAAAGAGCTGGGCATTGGGGTGGACACCTGTAGTCCCAGTTACTTGGGAGTCTGAGGAAAGAGGATCGCTTGAGCCCAAGAGTTTGAGATTGCTGTGACCTGTGATGTTATATCACTCTACCAAGGGAGACAAAGTGAGTCTCTATCTCAAAGATAAATAAATAAATAAGATAAAAATAAAAACCCTTGGCTTTGGACAAACAGGATCAGGTTCCATCTCTCCCTTACTAACTGGGTAACACTGAGAAGCCACTCTGCTTTAGTTTCCTCTGAGATGGGGCAGTGCTTTCCTTGCAAGGGTGTGAGGACAATAGCTAATCCATATCAAATAATTTAAAGAGCTAGCACACTCTAGCACAGAGCAAGTGCTCAGAGGGCAGCAGTTTTGGGGATCTGATGGAATGTTAGCCAGATGCACTGGGATCAGATCTCACAATCTGGGTCTGGGATGGACACCAGTTGCTGGCAGGGTGCAGAGGTGAGGCACAGACACTCTTATGGAGAAGCTCCTAAGGCTGCGGACCAAGCTGGTGGCATGAACTTAACCTCACAATTTGAGTGTTAATCTTTCACCACACTATCAGTTTTTTGTACCAAATTCCCTGGTAAGTCATTGAACTTTCACTCACGTCCTTTCATAGGGCTTCAAGGTAGACACCAAACTACATAAAATGCATGTGGTTAATACTAAGCTAGTTATTATAGGAAATATGACAAGTCTTTGTCCATAAGGAAATTGCAATCTCATAGTGAAAATTAAGTGATTTAAATGAGAATATATGTGTGTGTTTTGGGGGCAAGGCAGAATTGTAAGAGGGACTTTACCTAACAAATGCAATCAGTGTAACCTGGTTTCTTGTACCCTCAATGAATCCTCAACGATTAAAAAAAGGTGGGGGGGGGGAAGAATGAAGAATCTTTGTGTGTGTATAATGAAGTGCTAAGTCATAGGTGATAGAGTTATCTGGACAAACTGTGTCAGAAAGCAGTGATGGGCTCACTTCCTATCTCCTACCAGATTGTCCTAAAAATAAAGTCCTTTGTTTCATTCTCCTGAATGTACTTGTGAGGTATTTGTCCCATGATCAACCCCCGTTTGAGCACCTGCAGTAAGTAGGATGTGTGTAGGTGTGGGGGCTAAATGAGGTCACCTGATCATTGTCACAGTGCCCAGCACTGAGACCTGGCACCTTGTCACATCTGTTTACCCTGATTTTACTATTTGGAATCTTTTTTTTTTTTTTTTTTTTTTTGAGGCAGAGTCTCACTTTGTCACCCTCGGTAGAGTGCTGTAGTGTCACAGCTCACAGCAACCTCAAACTCTTGGGTTCAAGCGATTCTCTTGCCTCAGCCTCCAGGTAGCTGGGACTACAGGTGCCCTCCACAATACCCAGCTATTTTTTGTTTGTTTGTTTGTTTGTTTTTTAGAGACAAGGTCTTGCTCTTGCTCAGGTTGATCTCAAATTCATGAGCTCAGGCAATCCACCCATCTCGGCCTCACAAGTGCTAGGATTACAGGCGTGAGCCACTGAGCCCAGTCTTGGAATCATTTCTTTATGTCTCCATCTCTCAATGTAAAAAGTCTGTAGGCCTAGGTGAGAGCACTTTACAGGTAGCTCAATTGGGATACTTTCTCAATTGAGACAGCAGCAAGGCCATCTGTCTCCTCTCGTGGAACATTGTTTTCTTTTGTATTTTCTTACCTCTAAACATTATCCTGTAAGAATGAAAATTTTGTTTTGTTTTGTTTTGTGTTGTTTTTTAGGAGGGGGAACAGAGTCTCACTGTGTTGCCCCAGGCTAGAGTGTCACAGCTCACAGCAACCTCAAACTTCTGGGCTCAAGAGATTCTCTTGCTTCAGCCTCCTTAGTAGCTGGGACTACAGCCTGTCACAACACCCAGCTGGTTTTTCTATTTTTAGTAGAGATGGAGTCTCACTTTTACTCAGGCTGGTCTGGAACTCCTGAACTGAAGCAGTCCACCTGCCTCGGCCTCCCCAAGTGCTGGGATTAGAGGCGTGAGCCACTGTGTCTGACAAGTTTTTTTTCCATTAAGCCACTGGGTCACCACCTGACAAGTTATTTTTAAATAACCTCTTGGGTTTTGGCTTAAAAGCATGAGGTAGTATGTCAAAGGTAGTTTGGCATTTCTTTAACTGTTATCTAAAACTTCATCTGTTCACCACCACACAACTCTTCTCATTCTTTTATACACTTAGTATCCCATGAAGCAAAGGACAAGACCAGGGCCTGGAGCTCTGGCCTGACATCTCTCATCTGGGAATCGAGAAAACCAAGCCTCTGTCATAGGGTTTCCTGAGAATTAAGCAAGTTAATATTTATGAAGCAAAATGTTTGTTTGTTGAGCAATGTAGTAACTGCTTATCAGCTATTTCTCATTTATCCAATCTTATTACCTTTTTTAGTTATGAGGTAACTAATATTTAATAATCAAGGACTACTTTTTTTCCTCAAAAAATTGTCTTGATTTGGTTTTATTATAGTTGTTTTCTTTTTCCATGTTAGGCTTTTATAGTGAGTGTTTGAATTAATTCTTTGGTAAATAAGGAACTTACTCCAAAGTGTCACGTAGCATCAGCTTTAAAGTTCTTTGCCTTATTATTCCAACCACATAGTTATTCTGTTCTTTGTTTTTCTTAAGGAGATTTCAAAAACTTGGTTGATTACCACAGTGACCAATATCTGGTTTTCAAGCTAATGTTTCACTGTATAAATACTGAGCTCTGTGCTGAGCCTGTGTATACCTAATTCTTTAGCTCTGCTTAACTACTTTGTAGCCACTACAAATTGCTCATTTGGATTTTTTATTCTAGAACTCATCTGTATTTGAAGAATATAATTTTTATTTCTTTCTTGTGTTTGATGCCCTTACTATTTTTATTAAAGCAGATTTGGCAAGGAGTTTGAATGATCTGGTAAAATAGGATAAAGATGGTTGGTTTTTTTAATCTGATGCAGTACTGTTTGTTTCTTGGAAATATGTGTATGTGTGGATATAATTTTTAGTAACTCCCAACCACAGAATTTCTTTCTTTTAAATGCAAATGTTAAAACTGCATTATTTCTGTGTATTTCAAACCTTTCCTTAAAGATTCTTTTTTTCACTTTCTACCCCATTTTCAGGCCCCTGACATTTATGGGATCACGGACCAAGCAAGTCCTGCTCACCCCTCTCATGCATCCAGCACGCCCCTTCCGAGTCTCCAACCACAACAGGAGTAGCAGGCGAGGGGTGATGGCCAACAGCCTCCAGGAGCTCATTAGCAAGGTAGGAGCCTAACACCTCTTGGCTAGCTTACAAGGGTAGCCTAAGCTCTCCCAGGGCCCTGGTCTTGTGTACAAAGCCCATGAAAAGGCAAAAGTCTGAAGAAAAACAATATTCCCTGGCCAACAGAGTGAGAACCTCTATCTAAAAAAAGAATTAGGCAGGTGTTACCCTCAATGAATCCCAAACAATAAAAAGTAAATAAATAGTATTAGGCAGGTGTGATGGTACATACCCATAGTCCCAGCTACTTGGGAGGCTTAAGCAGGAGGATCTCTTGAGCCGAGGAATTTGAGACTAGTCTGGGCAACATAATGAGACCCTATCTCTTTTAAAAACCTAAAATAAGGCCCAGGCACAGTGGCTTATGCCTGTAATCCCAGCACTCTGGGAGGCTGAGACTGGCAGATCACCTGAGCTCACAAGTTCAAGACCATTCTGAGGTAGAGTGAGACCCAGTCTCTAAAAATAGCCTTGCATTGTGGTGGACACCTGTAGTCCCAGCTATTCAGGAGGCTGAGGCCAAGGGAATTAATTGAGCCCATGAGTTTGAGGTTACTGTGAGCTATGTGCCAAGGCACTCTACAGGGGTGACAAAGTGAGACTCTGTCTCAAAAAAACAAAATAAAACAAAATAAACCCTCAAACAGAGGGTGAGCTTGAGAGAGATATGGGGAATCCCTGCTGATGGTTATGTGGTTTCTTGAAGGATAGCAATGCTCTGAAGCTGATTGTGCTTGTGGTTGGCCAGCTCTGGACATCCCATAAACTATCAGATTACACACTTTAAAATGGGGGAATTGTGGCTCAGTGCCTGTAGCTCAGCAGCTAGGGTCCCAGCCACATACACCAGGGCCAGCAGATTTGAACCCAGCCCAGGCCTGCCAAACAACAATAGCAACTAAAACAAAAAAATAGCTGGGTGTTGTGGCGGGCACCTGTAGTCCCAGCTACTTGGGAGGCTGAGGCAAGAGAATCGCTTAAGCCCAAGAGTTGGAGGTTGCTGTGAGCTATGACACCACAGTGCTCTATAGAGGGCAACATAGTGAGACTGTCTCAAAAAAGGGGGGGAGGATTATGTGATAGGTGAATTTTGTATCAATAAAAGCTGCTTTAAAAAGAGAGAAAAAGGCCAGTGCAGTGACTCATACATGTAGTCCTAGTACTCTAGGAGGCAGAGGCGGGAGGATCACTTGAGCCCAAAAGTTAGAGGTTGCTGTGAGCTATGACACCATGACACTCTACCCAGAGTGACAGAGTAAGACTCTATCTCCAAAATAAAAGAGAGAAAAAGAAAGAAAAAAAAATAGCATGTTAAACTAATCAGACCTTCTCTTGGCCTCAGAGAGTCTAAGGGAGCCCTTTCTAAGCGGGTAAAGGCCAGGTATAAATAATCAAAGGGAGGTAGTATTACATCTCTGTATGTGAAAGATTTATGCACAGAGTAAAATCCTTCAGAGTAGTCCCCAGAGGATAATGTGGCTTTGTTTCTTTGACAACCTGGAATGCAGGGGAACTGCAGACTCTGGATGTCTGTTTTTGATTATAAAGACAGGACTACTGTCCTCAATCTAAAGAAGGGTCCTAGGCCACCAAATAAGGAAGGATCCTAGACTCTCAGAAGCATATCCCAGACACAGATACCCGTGGCTATGAGGAATGAGCGTCCAGCAGGCAGTCTCTGAAGCAAGAGAGGTGTTCAAACATGCCCTTGGAGACTCTGCTCTGAAATGTCAGACATGCAGGATTTCTCTTTTCATCCATATCACTAAGTAGATAATCTTAGAAATTGTAAATATTATTCAATATAATCACTTACCTCATGTCTCTTAAGAAGATAAATTCAGCTCAGCGCATGTAGCTCAGTGGTTAGGGTGCCAACCACATGCACCAGGGCTGGTGGGTTCGAACTCAGCCTGGGCCTGCTAAAGAACAATGATAACTACAACAACAACAACAACAAAAATAGCAGGGCATCATGATGGGCACCTCAAGTCCCAGGTACCTGGGAGGCTGAGGCAAGAGAATTGCTTAAACCCAAGAGTTTGAGGTTGCTGTGAGCTGTGATGCCACAGCACTCTACCAAGGGTGACAAAATGAGACTTGGTCTCAGGAAAAAAAAAATCTTCCTGGCTGGGCATGGTGGTGTGCACCTATAGTCATAGCTACTTGGGAGGCTAAGGCGAGAGGATCATTGAGCCCAAGAGTTTAAGGCTGCAGTGTGCTGTGATCACACCAATGTACTATAGTCTGTGCATCAGAACCAGACCTCACCTCAAAACAGCAACAACAAAAAAATTCCCTTTTCCCAAACAAAGACTGAATTATAGACACCAATCAAGTTTATCTTTACTACTGAAATTTCATCAAAATCAGCCACCATTCCTGAAAACAGGCTTAGCACATGTTGTGGGGTGGCCCATTGGGAACATCATGCTTCATTCCATTTCTGTTCTGCAAACCTAGACCCTGGATGCCCTGGTCATCACTGCTGGGCTGGTCACTCTGGTGCTGGAGGAAGACGGCACCGTGGTGGACACAGAAGAGTTCTTCCAGACCCTGGGAGACAACACACATTTCATGATCTTGGAAAAAGGACAGAAATGGACTCCGGTAAGCACAACACAGTCATTCAGATAATTCTCAGGTAGGCTTTTCACCTAGAAAAGCATATGCCCTCCTTTGGTGACTGGAGCGCTGTCTTTTCTTTTCTTTTTTTTTTTTTTTTAGAGACAGAGTCTCATTTTGTCACCCTTGGTAGAGTGCTGTGGCATCACAGCTCACAGCAACCTCCAACTCCTGGGCTTAGGCGATTCTCTTGCCTCAGCCTCCCAAGTAGCTGGGACTACAGGTGCCCGCCACAATGCCCAGCTATTTTTTTGTTGCAGTTTGGCCAGGGCCAGGTTCGAACCTGCCACCCTCAGTATATGGGGCCAGCGTGCTTTCTAAACACTCTGCATTCTCCTAACAACTGGATCCATTACCCTCAAAGGGATTCTTATAAGTATTTCTGGGAAGATTAGTATCTCTGTGAACTTGGGCTGTGTGATTTACAGTAAATAATTCTGAGGAACAGGCTTTGGCCAGAGAGTCACTATAGATGCTGTGAAATGCACAGAACTGGACTATTTACTGTCTTGGTTCTTGGAGGCCAGACAGGCTAATACAGACAACAAAGGCAGGGCAGGGTGTGCATGTGTGTGTCTGTGTGAATGCAGAGGTTTAGCAAAATAAAGAGATAGAATGAAGTTTCTGGGGAGATTAGATGACATACTTTGAAAAGCCCTCTACCATAAAATACCTAAAGATGCAAAGCAAAGCACTACAACATCTTTTTCAACCTATGACCTTCAAGAAAGGGGAATCCTAACTCAGCGCCCATAGTACAGTGATTACGGTGTTGGCTACATACACGAAGCTGGCAGGTTCGAACCCAGCCTGGGCCAGCTAAACAACAATAACAACAGCACCCTGCCTAGGGCGACATAGTGTGACTCTGTCTCAAAAAAAAAAAGCAGGGGTGGGGAATCCTCCAAGGTCAAAATTCTCATGAGAGTGAGAGTCCAGAGAGGAAAGCGGACGTGGAAGCTTTTCTCAGAGAGAAAAGACCATGGGTCTCTGGCCTGTGAGTGCCCACCGACCTCAGCGACCTGGGGCTTCGGCTTCCCTAGATGCTAGAAGGTAGGAGGCAGAGTTTCAGGCTGGCACAGAGGGGGACATCAATGTGAGAAGTCTCCATAAAACAGGGAATCTTACAGGTTTCTCCTGAGACTCTATAGGCATAAACTACCCTCATGAGGGTTTAGGCTCTACTGAGTCCCAAACACCTAAGCTGAGAGATCCGAAGAGAAACATCAGTTTACACAGGGAACTCTCTTTACTCAAGGAGTTGCTCACCGGCCTAGTGTCCAGGGTGGAAATGTTCAAAAATACACAAAAAATAATCAAAAATAATAAGTAGCAGGGCGGTGCCTGTGGTTCAAAGGAGCAGGGTGCCAGCCTCTTATGCCAGAGATGGCAGGTCCAAACCCAGCCCCGGCCAAAAACTGCAAATAAATAAATAATAAGGAGCAAGAGATAGTAAGAAAGAACTAAACAGACTTAAAACAATCAAGTAGGATTTCTGGAATTGAAAAATACTGTTTAAGGCTCAGCACTGGTAGCTCAGAGGTTAGGACCCTGGCCACATACACTGGGGCCAGCGGGTTCGAACCCAGCCCGAGCCTGCTAAACAACAATGACAACTAACACCACCACCAACAAAAAATAGCCAGGCGTTGTGGGCGCCTGTGGTCCCACCTATTTGGGAGGCTGAGGCAAGAGAATCACTTAAGCCAAGAGTTTGAAGTTGCTGTGAGCAATACCACAGCAACTATACCAAGGGCAACATAGACTGTCTCAAAAAAAAAAAAAACTATATAAAAATAAATATAAAATCAAGCAAATAGACACTCAGGTAGACAAGACTGGAGGCAATAAGGGACCTAGAAGATGTCCAAGGAAGGTGCCCACGATGTAACAAAGCTAGAAAGGTGGGGACACAGAGGACCCTGGAGATAAGGCTGAGAGGCGCGGGTGCTGCTCTGTTCAGCATCCTAAGGGTAAGGAAGGGTTGTTTTTTAAATTAGACACAATGCACAAGCTGTTTAAGAAGGAGGGAGAAGATATAAATCAATTCATTTTAGAATATTATTCATCAAAAGACACTATAAAGGAAATTAAACAAGCCACACGTGGGAAGGAGGCGTTCTCAACTTAACCTTGCAAAGGACTGGTATTCAGCAAATGTAAAGAACTTAGATAAACCCATTTGGAAACAACAGCAATCCAATTTAAAAATAGGCACAAGTCAGGGACAGCCCTCTCTGAATGAACAATTAAACACAGGAGAAAATGCTCAACCTCCTTGATGATTAGGAAATTTTAAGTAAAGACCACACTGAGACACCATTTTATACCATTAGATTTGGCATGATTATACTTATTTTTCATTTTTAAGATATGGAGCAACAAACTTTTTCTTTTCTCTCTCTCTCTTTTTTTTGAGACAGAGACTTTGTTGACCAGGCTACAGTACACTGGCATCATAGCTCAAACTCCTGGGCTCAAGACATCCTCCTGCCTCAGCCTCCCAAGTAGGCACCCACCACAACACATAGCTAATTTTTCTATTTTTAGTACACTAGAGACCGGGTCTCACTCTTGCTCAGGCTGGTCCTGAACTCCTGAGCTCAAGCAGTCCTCCCCCCTCAGCCTCCCAGGTGTGAACCATGGCACCTGGCCAACAAACTCTTACACTTCCACCAACAACTATTTGAAACACCAGTTTGCCTTCATGACCTATCAACTTTTTGCCCAAACATATTCTGAAACTGACGTCTCCATATCAAGAGCTGGGCATAAGAGCGTCCCTTCCAACCACGGGCCTGCTGAGAGCAAGCACTGGAAACAAAGCGGGTGTCCTCGCAGGAAATTGGAGACACACGCCTAGCAGAGCATGTCTGGGTGCACATGAATAAACTGTCACACAGTCACAGACAGGAGCTTTCTCCAGCTGAGAATGCAGAAGTGTGTCTGCAGTGTGCTGAGTGAAAAGATCACAACACCTTAAACAAGGGCACCCCACATTGCTTGCTCTCAGGACCCCTTTACACTCTTAAAATTAATGAGAACCTCGAATAGCTTTCATTTATGTGGGCTATGTCAATGGACTCTGAAGATACCTAGCAGAGGTTTCCCCTCTGGAGAGACTGGCCCCTTGGAAGCCCCTGGAGGCGTCTGAGGCACCGTCGGCTGTTCCGGCTGGCGGGCGCTACTGGCACCTAGCGGTAGAGCCTGGATGTGCAGCGACTGTCTGAGCACGCAAGGGACCGCCCTGGCCATCCGGCTCCAAACGTCCTCAGAGCCAATGTTGAGAAACTGTAAGCTGTAGACCTGGATAGTCCCAATATTAGAAATTAAAAGTTAGCCCGCCGTTGTGGAGGGCGCCCGTAGTCCCAGCTACTTGGGAGGCTGAAGCAAGAGAATCGCTTAAGCCCAAGAGTTTGAGGTTTCTGTGAGCTGTGATGCCACAGCACTCTACCCATGGCGACATAGTGAGACTCTTGTCTTAAAAACAAAAAACAAAAAGTTACTAATGAGCAGATTTTTCTTTTTCTAGATTTGAACAATGAATAAAAAAGAAATTGAGAACTTTAAAAATATATATTTCTTAAAAATAACCCAATACGGGTTAACTTAATCCTCTATTTTGATGAAAAATGACTACATTTCAGCTCGGCGACTGTAGCTCAGCAGCTAGGGTGCCAGCCACATGCACTGGAGCTGGCAGGTTGGAATCCAGCCTGGGCCTGCCAAACAATGACAGCTATAACCAAAAACAGCTCGGCATTGTGGCGGACACCTGTAGTTCCAGCTACTGGGGAGGCTGAGGCAAGAGAATTGCTTAAGCCCAAGACTTTGAGGTTGCTGTGAGCTGTGACAGTACAGCACTCTACTGAGTGTGACACAGTGAGACTCTGTCTTAAAAAAATAATAAAATTTACTACATTCCAAAGCACAAAGATTGAGTGAAAAGTGACATTGTTTACATTTTTGCAGATCTCTTCCATGTCTAGCTTAATAGAAGACCTCTAAATTCTCTCATCTGCTTCTATATTGTTTTGATGGAAGCATAAAGGACAGATGTGAGGGTCTTCTGGGGTAACTGAGAGTGTTGCTTTCTGAGACTCTGCTAGTGCTGGCCATGTGGTGGCTTCAGAAAGCTTAGTTGCAAAGTGGAGTCTGAAGAGAAAGTAGAACCGCCTCTGTTACGTTCAGTCCATTGGTCTATCTTGTGCTTTCAAGGGGTCTTTTCCCAGGGATGATGTAACACCAGTTTTTGCTCATTTAGAAAATACTGATTCACTGAGATAAGTAGGTTTCCCAGATCCGCATTGGGAAGCACCACCACCCACAAGAACAGAAAGGGCAAACTGCATCTTCCTGTTTATTAGGGAAATAGTCTTGCCCTCTCCATGGAGTCGGCTGATAAGAGACCATACTTTGTGAACTTCCACCTTAAGCCATTCACACATAATTCAAAAATATGCAAAATTAGCAATATAATGTTTGCAGTACACGTGTGCTAAAAACAGAGAAAAGCAAGGGAGATGCAGGGCCCAGGTGGCTCCTCTGGGGGTAGGCTGAGGAGGTACCCAGGAGTCTCCAGAGGCTACACGTGTGATGGTTTTGTTCTAAGTCTTATTATTCCTTCCTGTCACATATATTCTTATTCTGTGTCTTATTCTTCCTCTCTTAAGTATACATCATAATTTTTCTGACTAAAAAAGAATCTACAGACTAATTATAAAAAGCATAACAGTTAAACAAAGCATTAAAGCAAGTGAGGAGGCATGGCCTGTGGAGTAAACTGGATAAATCTTCTAAAAGGCAGTCTTGCTGTCTGCCAAGAAGAAGGTGTCCTGCCTGGGTGATGGTCCCCAAAGATAATCTTGATCCCCAAAGGGACTTGGTAGATGTGATTCAGTGAAGGCTCTTGGGAGGGGGAGTGGTCTTGGATTATTGGGGGAGACCAGTGTCATCATTAGGGCCCTTATGGTGGGTGGAGAGGATACAGGAGGGTGAGCGTGAGGGCCAGAAGGAGGAGTGGTGTGAGGAAGGGCTGAGCCCTGCTCCCTAGGTTAGGACTGAGCACCTTAGAACATCCATTTGTGTGGCTTAAGCTGCTCAGTCTCTGTTGACATGTGGCCGTAGCAGTAGGACACTAATTCAGGTAGGAAAGGTGTTTTTTGTTTCCTTGTATAAATGACGCATCCCTTAGCAAGGAGGAGCTGGGTGGGCACCAGGGAACTTGGCTCCATGCAAGGCAGTGACAAGATGCCATGGTGGGTGGTGCCTGTGGCTCAAAACGGTAGGGCACATCCTGCATATCACCACCCCTATATGCCGGAGGTGGCAGATTCAAACCCAGCCCCGGCCAAAAAAACCCCCAAAAAACAAGATTACATGATTCTGGACAGCACAGTCCAAAAGGCCTGATGCCTGCTCCATCTGCAGCTGGAATCTGGTGGAGTCTTCTCTTGGCTTGCACTTTCAGCTGTGCTTCTCTAGGCTGGAAAGGGATATCTCACAGCTACCCCCACACCCTAGCTACTCTCAGCCCTTCTCAGGGAGGCCAAAAAGGTCTCTTGCTGTATCCCAGCCAGCGGGGCAGGCAGTCAGCAGACAAGGCAGCCTGTTCCTGGGCCACTGGTACATGACCAGATGCTAGGTCATGTGAGGCTGGCTTTGGAAGGGCATCTTAATTTTTATTTAAGACCTAGACTAAAGGAAGATGTTTAAGGTAAAAACTTTCCAAAGTCAGGAACATGAGGCCAAGAAAAAGAAGTGGCAGGATTACAGGTCAAAACCCCTTTGGTCCAATAAGCTTGATCTTTAAAGTCAGGGCCCCTTGCACACCTGGCAGTGGCTCAGCCAGAGCCACTTACTTCCAGTCTCTGCAGTGGGACCAAGAGGAGTGGCTGCAGCAAGAGGTGTGTGGGTGCTTTCAAGGGGCTCTGTGCTCTGAATTCAAATTTATGAGGCCCTGGTCATTATTGAACTTAACCTTCACAGCCTCAACTGCCCCCAACTCCAAATGTTTGAGAGATGCAGGAACTCTATATAAATTGTCTAGATTCAAATTCTCTGTATGTGGCACAAACCACATAGGAAGGGCAGCTCCTAAGCCTGGCTTTTGTACCAGGGGTAGATTTTTTCTCTCTCTTTTAAAGCATTTTATGGGAAAGATTCTGTTGTGGTGGTATTTATAAGACCTAGAACTCTATCTAAGTCTCTCTCCTCCCAACCTGAAAGGTCTACCGATGCTCTTGGAGGGTGACACAGATGGCTGCCACGGACAGACAGCTTTCTTCTGGCAGCCATGGGAACACATTAGCCCCACGATTATAATACTTTCTGCCTAGTAGCTGCTTACAAAATGGAAATAGTGCTGCCTTCATCTCCATAACTTTGACCATGTTGTGGCCATAAGAGGAGAAGTCAAGTAGCCAGGTAGCCAAGGGTGGCCTTCAGCTGTGTGAGTTTTCACAGCATCAGGAGACAGCATCCTTTGAGCAGTGAGATCCCAAAACTTGGGCTTGAAGCCAGATCATATTTGTCTTGAGTCACTAAGCTGAAAGTAGCTTAGGGATGGGACCTGGCTGTGTGTTTGGATGTAGTATAAGCAGACTGATCAGCTAAAAGTATGACTTGAGATGGGCAGAGTGGCTCACACCTGTAATCCTAGCATTTTGAGAGGCTGAGGCAGATAGATTGCTTGAGCTCACAAATTCAACACCAGCCTGAGAAAGAGTGAGACCCTGTCTCTAAAACAGCGATTCTCAACCTGTGGGTCTCAAACCCCTTTGTAACAATGAAAATATACCCTGCATATCAGATATTTATATTATGATTCATAACAGTAGCAAAACTACAGTTATGAAGTAGCAACAAAAATAATTTTATAATTGAGGGTCACCACAACATGAGGAACTGTATTAACGGGTCATAACATTAGGAGGCATTAGGAAGGTTGAGAACCACTCCTCTAAAAACTAGCTGGACATTGTTGTAAACACCTGTAGTCCCCACTACTTGGGAGGCTGAGGCAAGAGGATCACTCAAGCCTAAGAGTTTGAGGTTGCTGTGAGCTATAACACCACAACAAAGGGAGACTCTGTCTCAAAAAATAAAAAGAATGACTTGAGTAATCAGCAGGCTGGTCACTGGCAGATTTAAATGGATATCTGTAACATTCTACAGCTCCAAGGTCAGGGTTGGGAACACTCCTAACATCCGCTCCTCCCTTCATTCCTGCAGGGCAGCAGGTATGTCCCCATTTGCCAGCAGCCAAAGAAATCGGGGATTGCAAGAGTCACCTTTGATTTATACAAGTTGAACCCCAAGGACTTCATCGGCTGCCTCAATGTGAAGGCCACTATGTATGAGATGTACTCTGTATCCTACGACATCCGGTGCACGGGGCTCAAGGCCCTGCTGAGGTAACAAACTCTAGGGGCCCAGCACAGGTGGCAAATTCCCACCTGTTCCTCTGTACTTCTGCCCAGTGCCAGGAGCCCCTGGCATATGGCAATTGCCATTAGGAATGTTAATAATTGTTAATAATTCATGCCTTATTTCCTAGGCTAATTTCATAAAACAGAAGATCTTAAGCCAAAACAGAGGATTTTTTTTCCTCCAAAGGCCATAAAATACTAAATGGAAACAAAAGCTAAATAATAAATATAAAGAACTAAATTTCTCCTGGGTGCCTGTAGCTAAGCCATTAGAACACCAGCTCTGTACACCCAGGGTGGTGGGTTCAAACCTGGCCTGGGCCTGCTTAACAACTAAATAAATAAATAGATTATATCGTTTGAGGCCAGGTGCGGAGGATTGCCTGAGCTCACAGGTTCAAGACCAGCCTGAGCCAGAGCAAGACCTCATCTCTAAAACTAGCCGGGCATTGTGGTGGGTGCCTGTAGTCCCAGCTAATTGGGAGGCTGAAGCAAGAGGATCACCTAAGCCCAAGAGTTTGAAGTTACTGTGAACTCTGATGCCACAGCACTCTACCAATTGCTACAAAGACTCTGTCTTAAAGAAAGAAAAAAAAAAAGAACCAAATCTCTTTTAAGAACTAGAGCACCTTAATTCTAGCAATGACAACTAAGCTGGCACCATGGAGGTTCCGGCCCAGTCTATAGGAGCAGCCACCTAGACCTTGACAGATGATCCTCTGCACCTCTCGGGCCTGGGCTGTGGGACAGGCATGCTCCTCCTGCTCCTCACACCAGGGCCCATCATCCCAGAGGCTGAGGCCAGGCTGGCTGCAGAGCACCCAGGAGAGAGGGCTTCCAAGAGACAGAACCCCAACCTACACCACAGACTATTTGAACAAATTCTGTACAGGCAAATGGAACCCTCTCTGGGTGTTCCTACTCCATAATCAGGTTGATAAACCTGTCAAACCCTCCTCTGAGTAACCAGCTGCGTGACCTTTCACAGGTTACTTAATGTCTCTGAGCTATGGTTTCATCCTGTTTAAAATGAGAAGGCTGCTTCTGAGTTCTTCCTGAGGGCCTGGGCTCTGCGTATACCTTCTCCTCCAGTAAACTCACCATTGAGCTTTGAAGAATGAATTCTCTGTGGAGAAAATGGGTAGAGGAGAGGGGCTGACTGCAGCAGAAAGGGCTTTGAGGCGAGTCAAAGACTTTGAGGAGTCTTCAGCAGTCCTGCCATCCTGGCGTCCCTGCACACTCCTGGCAGGGCCTGGCTTGTTCTCTTTCAGAATGTGTGAGGGTGAAGCCTGCTCTCATCTGCTGTGAGCATGATGCCAGGAGAAGAAATGCTTTGGAGACAAGCGTGTTCCCCTCTTGGGAGTCTCCTGTGGGCACCCCCTGGTTGGCTCAGGTGCATGGCCCCTCCATGGCCTCAGTTTCTCAGTCAGAGCCGTCAGCAGCTGAGTCCTAGACTTGAGTGTTGTTCTGGTATTGAAATCCTGAATCCCAGGAGACCATCTTTGTTTTGTTGAAATGGGAGAAAGTAACCATATTCTTTGATTTTTAAAATGAGATAGGAAGGTTGCAACTTAGAAAGGTGTAATAAACATCACTCCACATCCAGGCACAGCAGCTCACGCCTATAATCTTAAAATTCTGGGAGACCCAAATGGGTAGATCACCTGAGCTCAGGAGTTTGAGACCAGCCTGAGCAAGAGCAAGACCCCCAACTCTAAAAAATAGAAAAACTAGCTGGGCATGGTGGCAGGTGCCTTCTCCCAGCTACTCAGGAGGCTGAGGCAAGAGTTTGAAGATGTTGTGAGCTATGATGATGCCATGGTACTCTATCCCAGGGGACAAAGTGAGACTCTTCCTTTTTTTTTTTTTTTTTTTTTGAGACAAAGGAAAATTCAGCTTTCCCCCTACTAATCCTCACGGACTGAGATCTACAGCATGGCAAGCTGAGGCCTTGACTGCCCAGGGTCTCTGTGGGAGGCACATGCCCAGGGCAGCTGCAGCCCCTGCTGAACTCCCTGCTGCCACCTACAAAGTGAAAGGATTTTAAATATGGAACGAAAGCTTGGTGCCTGTAGTACAGTGGTTACGGCTAAGGCTGGTGGGTTCAAACCCGGCCCGGGCCAGCTGAACAACAGTGACAACTGCAACAAAAAAATAGCCAGTCGTTGTGGCAGGTGCCTGTGGTCCCAGCTACTTGGGAGGCTGAGGCAAGAGAATCACTTAAGCCCAAGAGTTAGAGGTTG